GGGTAAGTCGATTGAGTTGGTGCAAGTTCTCAAGAGGAGAAGGATTCAGGTGGCATGCGTGCAAGAAACCAGGTGGGTGGGCACTAAGGCGCGAGAGGTTGATGGTTTCAAATTGTGGTATTCAGGTTCAGCTAGGGGAAGGAATGGAGTCGGCATTCTGGTGGCGCCGGAGCTGCGGGAGTTTGTGGTGGAGGTGAAGAGGATTAGTGATCGTCTAATGTTTATCAAGTTGGTTTTGGGTGGCTGTGCGATCAATGTCGTGAGTGCTTACGCCCCGCATGTTGGCCTGGCAGACGAAGTTAAGAAGGAGTTTTGGGACGCCTTGGATGGGGTGGTTGTTGGTTTTCCACTAACTGAAAAAGTCGTCATTGGAGGCAACTTCAATGGCCATATTGGAGAATCGGCCGATGGCTTCGAGGACATGCACGGTGGTTTTGGCTTTAGCAGCAGGAACCCATCAGGAGTTTCACTCTTGGAGTTTGCCAGAGCGAGTGATTTGGTGGTTGCTAACTCGTGTTTCCCTAAACGAGACGACCATTTGGCTACATTTGTTAGTGGAGTAGGGACGACACAGATCGGCTATCTTCTCTTGCGCAGGTGTGATCGGGTGCTCTGCAAGGATGCTAAAGTAATTCCGAGTGAAAACGTCACTACCCAACACAAGCTTCTCATGATGGATGTTATGATCAGGTGGGAGAAACATAGGAGAGCTTTGAGTGGCAACACACAAATCAGGTGGAGGAGACTAAGTGCGGAGAACATCACTGAGTTGACCAGGCGAGTGCAGGAGAAAGGTGCGTGGGAATCGACCAGAGAGGCTACAGATATGTGGGTGCGGACTGCTAACTGCATCAGGGAATCAGCCAGGGAAGTGTTAGGTGTGAGCTCTGGCTCTGGGAGTAGGCGTCAGGGTGATTGGTGGTGGAGCGATTCCGTCCGAAGTAAGGTGGAAGCTAAGAAGGTGGCGTATTTGAGGTACATGGGCTGCAATGTTGAGGAGGAAAGAGCGGCGTTGCGAGTGGAGTACAAGAAAGCGCGTAAAGAAGCTAAGTTAGAGGTAACGAGGGCAAAGAATGCCGCTTTTGAACGCCTTTACAAGGATATTGAGGAGAAA